GGGATGGGCGCACGCTGCGGCTGCAGGCGGCCTGGGCGTCCCGGCGGGGTGGACTGGATGGGACCGCCCGACAGACGCTCGGGCTGGTTAGGTAACAGTCCCCGGCTGGGCAGTTACGTCCCTGCCCGGGGGAGCGCTGGGAGAGGTCCTGGCGGCGGGCCCCGCACCCAGCCGGTGGCCCCCAGCGTGGAGGACAAACCCGGCTCCGAGAACCGCGTCTGATTCAGCCTTGCACTCCGCTGGGCTGCATTTCAAGCTCTAGGGATCGTTCACGCGCCCGGCCCCTGGTTGCAGAGGCCAGTGTACTCCGACTTCGGGGTCACTACGGGATTTCTGTGAAAAGGAAAGTGAAAGACCGGGAGGTAGAGGAACTGGAGTTTCAACCCTGGAGACTTGTGGGGGAGGGAAGTGGCCCAATGCTTGACGGTGCCTTTTGAATTACTCTTGCAATATTTCCACTTGAAATGCACCTTAGCAAAGGGAGGAGTAAGTGAAAATGCCCCACGATTACGTGAGTTTAAGCTAAGTTTTGTTAGCCAAGACGCTTAAGGGTAAAATATCAGACTAGGACACTCACTAAAACAAAATAGATTTTAGCTTTCAAGTTTAGTATTCACTCAAGCATCGTGATGGTTTTGAGTGTAGTGATTAGGCGTAGTACTCTTGTGACTTTGTTTGGGTTCTTTGCTTTTTACTTTTTAACCCTGTAATCTGAGTGTTTCAGAGAGTTCCATTTTGCTTACATTCTAGTTTGTCTATTTCTTTGTAATCTATTTATTGTAAGTAGGTGAGTTTTCATCTTAAATAGATACAAGATTATCAACAGGTGGTCTTTCAGTTGGAATTTTTATTTTATTATTTTATTTTATTTTGGTTTTTAAGACAGATTTCTCTGTGAAGCCCCTGACTGTCCTGGAACTCACTTAGTAGACCAGGCTGACCTGGAACTCAGAGATCCTCCTGCCTCTTCCTTCTGAGTGCTGGGATTAAAGGCATGTGCTACCATACCCGCCTTCTGATGGAAAGATCGGTCCAGTTTCTACTTGGTACTTAAGACTCTGAAGTCTCATTTGACTTAGTTCGGGCTAGGTGCTTTGGGAGGTGGTTTTAGGAAAGGCTCACTCGTGGTTTTGTAAAATTTAAGGAAATAACCCAAATTAATTTTCAGGTATCTTACCTAGTTCTGGATGAAATGGCTGAATCTAATGGGAAGTATAAACAGATACTAAGTGTGAACTTTTAAAGGGCCAAACTTGGGAGGGCACATCTTTATTTTAATCCCAACACTCAAAAGCCCGAGAGGCTTCTTGAGTTCCAGGGTAGCGTGCTTACCCAGTGAACAGTAAAGGTCCAGAGCTACATAGTGTCTCAGAAAGAGCAGTGTATAACTGTCAATGATGCCGCCCTGCTTAGCAGCAGCTTTTGGTGGTGTTTTGGAGCTGCTTTTACTTAATGAAAAATCTAAAAGCTTTCTAACCTAGCAAGTCATGGTTGTCTGCTTGATTACAATTTGCATATAATTTTTATTTCTGCTCATTCTCAATTGGGCATTTTGTCCCTTTTTCTGCCTTTTTTTAAATCTTAGGTAGAGAGGTAGCAAAAATACTTGAGATTACAGGTAATGAAAATTCTTTGATTTGGAGATTACATGTTCTTGTTAGTTCCTAAAAATTCTTGACTGTTTAGAGGAGAGTGGCTGGATGTTGATGAGGATATTTCTTCTAAAAACTAAAAGAAAAATCATTTCCTAAACCACACAAAGTAGATAAGGTGGTGGCCAAGCTTATAGCAACATGTGGGATCCATTTTCAGGGTATCTTTGGGAAAGCACAGAACACTCGGGGCCCATAGAGGAGGGTTTGGAGCACACTTCCATTTCTGTGATCTCATGTTTCATCGTGTGCAATAAGGAGCTGAGAACACAGGCAGATGCAGCTCTTTTCCAAATAAAAAGGCCTACTCTTATATCTTTAATCGTTTGTATTTTCAGAATGGCTTAAGGCACGATTTCCCACCCAGCTTCAATGACACTTACTGACCCAGCTAGGGAAGATGGATGTGAGCCCATGCAGTCACTGCGCTGATTAGGTTGCATTGGGGCTTTCCTGTCAGAGAGTCATGCTTTTTCTTTTTTAGCGTACTGCTGGTATGGTCAGTTTCCAAATAACCAGGAAGCAGTTAAAAGATGCCTTTATTCTATCCCACACAGAAATTCCACAAAACTGTACATATTTTGTTTGTAAGCGCCTACGGCAGAGAACAGTTTTAACATTTTTCAACATTTTATCTCCAACAGATTAGCAGAAGACATTGTCATTTGTGCTGTGGCTGGAAAAGATGGGATACACAAAAGTAGTCCTTCAGTGACGTTCAGGTCCCGTCTACCCCTAAATACACTGCCGGGGTTGCTTGCTCCTCAGGGGCCTTCTTGGCCAGCTGTCTAGAACTCAGCACTTTATCAATCACACATCAATACACAGTGGAGGCACGGTGGGCAGCAACAGCATCTTACAATCCCGGGTGGAGAAGGGTTATCTTTCCTGACTCTTTAGGGAACTGCTTAACTTCCTTGTAGCAATGAAGCAGTCAGTTCTTGTGTTCTTCAATGGCTGAGGAACACAGGGAGTCGAGCATTATTACAGAAGAGATTTGGAGAGATGAGCATCATATGACAAAGTGAGTTCTGCCTGGAACTGGGAGTATTTTCCTCTCGCTGACTTCCCACCTTTTGTACTTGACTCTCGAGTGCTTCCGGGAGAGCACTGACGGTTCATGGCCCCAGAGCTTGTCAAGGAGGAGGGTTTCTGTATTCTTATTCTGATGTATCCCTAAAGACATGTATGTGTCAGTCGTAGTGACATATCTCTGTAATCTTAGCACTGAGAAAGAAGAGGTGGGAGGCCAGCCTGGGCTACATAGCAAGTCTGGGCCAGCCTGGGCTACATGAGACCTTGCCTCAAACAAGAGGGTGACGTTTGTATGTATGTTTTCAAGTAAGCTTTATAAATTGTGGGGGAAATTTGAGCAATAGAAATAAAACAGTACGGTTGGCAACCTCAGGTAAAGAAAGATGCTTACTACCAAGCCTGGCTTGGTAAGCCCCAAAGCTTACCTTAGCTGGGGATCCACACAGTGGAAAGAGACAACCCAACTCCTGCGAGTATTTATGGAGTAGTTTAGGCTCCAGAGCTAAATAGCAGCAAGTTATTTTCTATGGCAGCAAATTCCCAGAGCGTCACACACCTTAAAGACTCCTGAAAAGCAGAAGAATCGATTAAAATGTTTGCTGTAGTGAGGCAGAGGCCAGGGTGGTTGGGGCTAGTGGATCCTTCTCTTATGCTGTATCACACAGATAATGTCACTTGTACAAGTGTGACTGAAAAAGTAGGTAGGTCCCAGTTGCCTTTGGCAATGTGATACCAGTTTGGGTGGCAAGATCTTGAGAAGCCACCAGACCAACCTAATCTAGAGAAAATTATACCTGATTTCCTGCAGGAGGATTCTGCTTACCTTAAATACGCCTCCATCCCCTGGCCCCGCTGTCATAGTAGGACGAGGGCGGATCCTTGAAAGTGGAATGTATCGATGCAGTTGTTTGACTAACACTCCTCGTTGGAGAGAGCTCACCCTCGTGAAACATGGGGCTAGAATCTTTCTGTTCTAGGCACTGAAAGTTACTGTCTAGCACCTAATCGTTTTCGAAGCATTTTAAGAGCTTTTTCGTGTATGTGGATATGTTGTCTCCATGCATGTCTCTACCACATGTGTGCTTTAGATTCCCTGGAACGGGATCTACAGACGGTTGTGCACTGCCATGTGGGTGCTGGAAACTGAACCCCAATGCTTGTACCCCTGAGCCATCTCCAAAGACTGTTCATGGGCTCCTGTGTACGTCACAGGGCTCTCTTAACCGCAGGAGGGACCGTGTTGCTTGACGCGGAACACTGAGCTCTTGATTTTCCCCACTCGTTCCTTCCATAGTCTCCATTGATTCAGTAAGTGGACCCTTTCTTTCAGGAGGCGCTGAGACAGGGTTTGCTATATCCCTGTGGTAGCCCAGGCTGGCCTTTGGTTCAAGGCCGTCTTCCTACCTTGCCTGAGTGCTGGGATCACAGGTGTGTGCCACTCACTATCCCTAGCTAAATGGTGCCATTGATAACCCAGGGTGCTCCAGCCGGACTCCAAGGGGCATCTGTAACGTCTCATTCTTCTGCATCCAGTTCTAATTCTCCTTTACCTCCAAAAGTGCTAGGTAGGTGTCTGTCTTCTCTTCTGGCTTAGTTGTGTTCAGAAGCTTCTTCCTTCCTGGCTCTGCTCTGAGCTCCCTGTAATGCACATTCCCCTTGTGCCAGATTGTTTATATTATTTTGTATATGTAGCACACCCTTCAAATTAAGGTTGTGAGGAAGGCCTAGAAGTTGTGGCTCAGGGTTAGAACATCTACTTACCATTTGTCAGAGCCTATATTCAGTCCCCAGCATCAAAAAAAAAAAATGCAAACCAGGTTATATTTACCCCAATATAAAACCTAATGCTTCCCATTGCACTTAACACACAGTAAGCTCCTCTCAGCACCTATGCCTGTGTATGATCCTACCTGTTCCAACCTTGCCAGGCCCAAGGACCAACTACATTGGCCATTATTCTGTTTTGTCCCTTGTGACAAGGAGCTTCCTGTCTTTTCATTTGACTCTTGTTCACCTGTCACTACCCAGCCAGATCTCCCCAGTTCTTTCTGTCCATCTTACTCTGACATTACGTTGTCTGAGTGTTGTTTTTCTCTTAACCTTCTCATTAGCCCCCAAGAAGTGGGGCCTCATCAGCCTATTCTGCTCCTCCCTTCAGCATCTGTAGTGGTCAGCCTGACACATGGAACAAACAGGTTATGTGTCTGTGAGTCAGCCGACTGGAGTTATGCCATATCCCCCAGTGACCACTGGAGCAGAAGATAAACTAGTGAAGCTAGAGTTAGTGCCTGTTGACTGTATTCTTAGAGTAGCATTTACTAAAAACTCTGCTTTTAAAGATAGTACTCTGCCTGGCGGTGGTGGCGCACGCCTTTAATCCCAGCACTCGGGAGGCAGAGGTAGGCAGTTCTTGTGAGTTCGAGGTCAGCCTGGTCTACAAGAGCTAGTTCCAGGACAGGCACCAAAACTACAGAGAAACCTTTTCTCAAACCCCACCCCCCCCAAAAAAAAATTAGTACCCTTGACCACTATGTGTATTCTAAATCTGAATACTGATTTATTAGTCTACAAACAACATATTGGGTGTATTCTCTTTCATGGCTAATTACCTGCGAATTTGAATTTGTATAGACATGTAAGTTTTTTTACCTGTATTCTCTAAAATAATTTTAAAATTGTAAAATATGGTTCATTTCTAATTCAGCAGCCTGTGAGGCTCCATGTTTTAACTTGTATCCTTTTTAACATAGGAAGCATTCCTGTATGTAGGCAAAATATGTATATGTATTTTATATGTATGTAGGCAAAAGTGGGTTTTAAAGCACTATCTTCGAAATGCATTTTAAACAAAAGCTTCAATAGTTAAATGCCTGTGGTATGTTTTTATGTATGTGGTGTGTGTGTGTGTTTACATGCTTCTGGGCTTTCTGTTCGTACAGATACTGTGTAGAGGCCAGAGATTAATGTCTGATAGCTTCCTCAGTTGCACTCCAAAATAGTATGTTGAGGCTGGGTCTCCCTTGTCTCAGGAGCTCAACGGTTTGGCTAGTCCGAGCAAGCTGGTGTGTTCTGTGGTCCCAGTGCTGGGTTGCAGTTGGGCCACCACACCTGCCTGCACTTCCGTGGGTGCTGGGGATCCAGTGCTCCTCATGCTTATGCAGCAAGTGAGCATCCGCTGACCTCCTCCAATCCGCCTCCGAACTTGTACATTCTGGTCGGAGGTACCCTGAAGTATGTGAACTGTGAAGGTCAGAACTGACTCGGGTCAAGGTGGTTTAGGACGTCTGCACTGTGTCATCCAGTCCTGTGTGCAGTTTTACTATTCTCCTACCTCAATGCCTAGGTTTCTCTAAAAGAGTTGGAATTACTAGGTTGTAAGTCTATGCTGTTGTTTTTACATATATCGGGTATATTTTAAGTGTGGGTTATCTTTTTTTCCTAGCAAGCTTAACTACTACTAAAATATCATTTATATATACCTACCTGACTTGGGTGTTTTTTCCTTTTTCTTTTTTTTTTTTTTTTTGCATTGTGGTGGATTAATAGGTTTAATTACTGTGGGTTCTATATTAGCTTTCTCCCTTGGTTCTTGGTGGCTTTCCTTGAACTGACAGTGATGAGTCAGTCCCTGGGCTCCAACCTTTAAATCCAGAGTGTCTGCATTTTATTCAAAATGCCTATGCCTTTTATTGTAGGGCTTTGGGGCGCGGGGGGAGGAGGGGGTGTTTGGTTTTGTTGTTACTTTTATCTGTGCCTAACAAGAAGCTGCAGCCCTCTTAAGCCCACATTACTCTAGAGGTTTACACACACACACACATCTGCCTATGTGCAGCAGAGGTTTACACACACACACACACACACACACACACACACACACACACATGTCTGCCTGTGTGCAGCAGAAGGGAGCTCCAAGCCTGCTTGGCTGGGAAGGACTCACAGAGGATGGACATTCAGGAGTGGCAGTGGAAATGCATTTATTTTAGAATGCTAATGCTAAGCTACAAAGATTCTGTAGATAGAGCCGAGCTTCTCTGAGATTGAGGTTGTACAGCCAGAGAAACACTGGCTTTCCTAAACTTGAAATCATGCTTAACAGGAGACAGGGTGTGGACCCTGACCACCTGTGACACTTGGCCCACCATGGCTGTAATTTACCCTGTACCTTACATTTTAAAGTTTTTCTATTCTTAACACTGTACAGACACACACTACTCCTAGTCATTTATTTGCAAATAAATTTGTAAATTTTGAAATAAATGCCTTATTTATACAATCGCCTTAGAGTGACAAAAACACAATAAAACTGAAGCTGTAGTGAAGGCTGAACGTTCCTCAGGCTGAATTTAAGAACATAAAAATTTTATGTTTTGTAACTCGTGTAAGATCTAGTAGGAACTTCCTATTCAATCAGGAGGCAGTTTGAGAAATAACATACGGGAGGTTCTGTTGATGTTTTTAAATGTTTACTACATTTTGTAACTGTGTAGGGACATGTGTACATGGTGCTCATGTGGAGGTCAGGGAGTGACCTGGAGGAATCTGTCCTCGCCTACCACGTGTGTCCCAGGATTGATCTCAGGTCATGAGCTTTTGTAGCAGCAAGCACCTTGATGTACTGAACCATCCCAGCACCTAAAACGTAAAACAGGCTTGCTATTGCTTTTTCACTTGCTGCTGCTGCTGCTTTCATCCCGGTCTCTGTAGACACCCTGGCAGCCGAGCTCATCCTCGTAGCTACTTGAAGAAGTGGGTTATGAGAAGATGTTGACTGAGGCCACGCTTGGCACGTTAGATAGCTGTGGTATAGGCCAAGCGTTCCTGATCCGAAACTTAGGACTTCTTGAGTGTGGGTGTCACGGGGGCAAAATTCCAAACCCAACCTCATAAAACCGGTCACAGTCAGAATCTGGGCCAGAAAGATGGCCCAGTCAATAAAGTGCCCACTGCACAGGCCCAAGGACCTGAGTTTGATCTGTAGCGCCTGACGTGAAAAGCAGCTGTGTTGCAAAGGGGACCCCGGCCTGCTGGCCGGCTGGTCTACCCAAACTGATGCGCTCTAGGTTTGATGAGAGCTCATGTCTCAAAACGGATATGACGAAGGAAGACCTGAAATCCACCTCTGGCCTCCATATGCATGCATGCACATACACACAGACCACACAAACACACACAAAAGGTGAAAGTATTTCTCTCAGGTAGACAGGTCCTAGCCCCAAAATACAAGTACAGCCAAGTACTCCAAAACCCCAAATCTGAAGTACCACCAGTCTCAAACATTTCACCAAAGCAAAAGCAAGTACATGCACAGCCTGCCTGAATCTCTACCTTGGTTTGTTCGATAAGGTGTGTATCTCAGACAGAAAAGGGCTATACCCCAAGACCAAGTGAGATCTTCTCAACCCTATGGCTTTGAACACACTTAGGTCTAATCTCTTCAGTCACTTTTGTTTTGATGATAAAATGGAATTGTGAGCAGGTTCCTAGTCTCTTGTTCTGTGCGGCTAGGGTGGTAGGTTGATCAATAGCAAGTAAGAAACGGTCTGATTGGAGCTAATTTGAAGACTTGTCTATTGTGCTTTAATCTGCTCTTAAGTGTTTCCTAATGAAGGTGTCTTTCTTCCTGTAGGTTACTCACTATAAACAATACCCTCCCAACACAAGCAAAGTTTATTCCTACTTTGAATGCCGTGAAAAGAAGATAGAAAACTCCAAAGTAAGGAAGGTGAAATACGAGGAAACAGTATTTTATGGGTTGCAGTACATTCTTAATAAGTACTTAAAAGGTATTGCTTTTCCTAGTACATTTAAAACACTACTTTCATGTGACTTTGTATTTTTTTCTGTCTTGTTATGTTCTGTTCTTTGAAGTAACTTTTTAAATAATCTAATTTTGATATTATATTTGATCACCACTTTAGGAATTGTTTTGTTTGAGACATGGCCTTACTTTGTAGCCTAGGCTGGCCTTAAACACAGGGAATTGCTCAGGCTATCCTCAAAATCATGGCAGTGTTCTGCCTCAGCCTCCCAAGTGTTTATAATTGTTAAGCTACCACTGTGCTGCTTTCTTTTACAAAAATTATGACCTGTTTTTTTGAATGCACTAAGACTTAGAATTTGGTCTGTGTTAGATGTTTTAAGTTAGAGAGAGGTTTTCTGAAACTGACGATTTTCCAAAGAAAGTTTAGGACATTAATGTTCAGAAGCCATTCTCATTTACTGATAGACTGAGCCATTTACTCAGGGCAAGAGGTTTATTTTTGATCTTGAAAATCATTTGAATTATGGTAGATTTAACTAGAATATTTTTATATTGCTCTATATATGCCTTACAATTTCATTTTTCAAAACTATTTACAATAGTGGTTTTAATTTTAAAACGCATTTTAAACAGGAAAATCCTCCTGGTAATTTTCAGGGGTGGATTGGCTGTTTGCTGAGACCATTTGTAGTATATTTTGTAATGAAGTTTCTACACAGGGAACCAGTTCCAAAGACCTTATTACACTTCTGGAAATTTTTAATTTTTGAAACAAAAACAATTTCAGTTGAGTACAGTTTAAGCTTAATTTTATGCAAATTATCGCTATTTTAAGGTCAGATAGAGCAGACTTGATGCATTACTGAAAACCCAGCTAGGTGTAAAGGTCCTACTGTATGGAAAGAGAATGCACAGGGTGTCTTAAATACAACAATTAATACTTGTTTCTAAAAATAGAGAATTTTTTTATTTCTATAACTTTGTAAGTTATTATAGATGGTGTGGGTGTATGTGTGTGTGTCGATTGCCTGTTAGAGTAGGGCTGCTTAAACCATTGCCGTTGGCAATCCCAACTGACTTGAGTTTTTGCACAATTCTGAGTATATAAGTATATAAATATATATACAAACATTTGCTGATTTAAAAAAATAACTTTATAGTACGTACGCTACTTTTTACTAAGGACTGAGCATATTAATGTACATTGCGTATTTTTACAATGCTAAGACTGCCACTTCATATAAATATGTAGTACAAATGGCAGAAGTGTGTTTAGGGCCATTTCATAGTTGATGGGAATTCTGTCCTAATCCCAAGCCAGAGTGTAGAGGATAATTTTTTTGTGAAACTGAAACCAGCAACTTCAACAGCAGTTTTAGAGTCAAGCATTGTTAACACAATAGCTCAAACTATGTGCTCAGGAGTGACAGAAGGAAAACACTAGAAGTCTGTTTTCTGTGATTAAACCATGTGTTCTGTAAGATCAGGGAACTTGGTATATACAGTAAAAACACTGCAGTTTGTGACAGACTTGGTCTTGAAGCCAAGCAGGGTATTTTAGGCAGCATTTGTTGACTTGTCATGGTATGGTCGTGTGCAGTGCAAAGTGCACATGTGTGTGTGTGTTCAGACCAAGTGGATGAAGTTGCATGATCCAGCACAGGTGAACACTGCCAGAAAAACCTTGAATTCATTATATGTTTGGTTTTAAATTAATTTGTGGCTCTTATAGATTCAGAAGTTTTTACTGTTTGCACAACTGCTCTAGACCGTGTTTTCTAAATAGCTGTGTATCGTTGTCCTGTGAGGACGTCTGTACCCTGTCCTCCTTTCACAGAGAAGAAGAGATTGAAGACTCTCTAAAGAGCACCACAGTTAGCTTTGGTTTGTTTTGATGCCGTGCAAGTGATTTTCTACTCGCTAGCTGCTTGCTTGTTTTAGTTTTTGAAGAGAGTCTCACCATGTAATTCAGGCTGCTTTGGCTCCCTGAGTCCTTGATTTATGAGTGTGAGCCGCTGTGTTTGGCTGCTCTTGTGCATGTAAAATAATGAACAATTATGGTTAGGGTGAGCTCTTGGAAGTACAGGTTTCCTTTCTGAATCTGCTCTTGACCGGTGAATCTCGATCAACCTCTCTGCTTTCCGATCATAAGGAGTGAGAGAGCTGGCGACATTGCTGTGGTGACTCAGCAAGTTACAGAATGTAAACAAGACCTGTGTGTCCTTCCAGGTAAGGTAGTGACCAAAGAGAAAATCCAGGAGGCCAAAGAAGTGTACAAAGAACATTTCCAAGATGATGTCTTTAATGAAAGAGGATGGAACTACATTCTTGAGGTACAAATGGCTGTCATGTCTCACCTGTTTTGGGTTTTGTTTAAATCAAAATTTCTTGCCATGAAATTTGAATAGAGAATTCAACTATAAAGCTTTTTGTTGATGATCTGAATATAATAGTTATTTTTTAAGATATTCTTACAAAGACTAGATAACATTTGCTTTTTCTCTGTAGTGTCAGTCATTAACAAGCAGCAATAAAACAGCAGGTCACCGGTGCTGTTTACATGACTAACGTCAGCATTTCAGTGTTGGTGAAAGTAATTTGTTGTTACACTGCATAAAGTAAGATTTTGGAAAAATAAGACCCAAGAATATGTTTGAAAAACCTTTTACTAAGGTGACAGAATTTAAAATAAACTAACAGATACCTTATAGTAGTCCTAAGCAATATGCTATGTAAGTGACTTAGAATTTAACTCATTTTTTGAGAGGTAATTCAATACATTTCTGGAAAATATACTTTAGAAAATGGAGATACCTAATAATTTTTAAAGGATATAGTTACTTGGCAGTTTCATAAGTTATTTCTAACTTTCTCAAGTTGAAAGTAGATGCTATGAGTTTATTACAACATAATTCTGGGATTATTCTCTCAGCAAGTAGAACAGTGAGGTGCAGCTCCTGAGTGAGTTCATTCTTGCTATCATGAGCTTCCAAATTCCCTAGCGGTTCAAACACAGGAGGTTATCAGAGCAGTGACTTACTTAGACTTAGGCATTGAATGTCAGGGTCTTCGTGGCTTTAAACACCAGGAAAAAGATAAGACTTACTTAAAATTCTTCTGTAGTGATCTTTTCTTTGTGTGTTCTTGCACACTAGCCTTTAATCTTTCCTTCTTTCTTTTTCGTGTATGAAAATGACCTGTAAGGAACAAGTTGTAGGGTATTTTTAGAGTATGCTAGAATGAAATCTCTCTTTTTCTGAACAAGTCAGAGAAATGCTGTTTTGATCAGTGTTGATCAAAGGTGTTCTTAGCAGAAACAGCATGAACTTAGGAGCTGGATTGGTGCCTAAGTTTTTATTCATTCTGACTCTTTAGAAGGTACAGGATACTCTGACTAACTAGATTATTGCTAATGATTTAACATCTATACTTTCTGCAGTGGTAAAAATTTAGCTTCCATAAAATGTTTAAAAAAAAAAAACTGGCCTAACAGGCAACTGTTGAGTGAGTGAATATTGTTGCTGTTGCCTCCTGCCAGAAATACGACGGCCATCTCCCAATTGAAGTAAAGGCTGTCCCTGAGGGCTCTGTCATCCCCAGAGGGAACGTGCTCTTCACCGTGGAGAACACAGACCCTGAGTGCTACTGGCTCACCAACTGGATTGAGGTCAGTGGGTTTGACTTTTATTCAGAATCTTGTTTAAGTGGTGATTGGACATAAAGACCATTGGGTCCTGTAAGTTTGCTGCCACTAGTAAAGCTATGTAATCTGCAACTGAGTCCTGTCTCAGCTTCCTCATCAGTGAGTGATATTTGAACTCAGTGATCTTTACTGTCCTTCTGATGAAATGTGATCTTAGGAGAGCCTATAAATCAAATGACTGAGCTCAGTTGACATCGGTCTTATAATTCCTTTTGTTTCTTTTGATACTACTGGGACCAGAATCCAGGGCATAGTGCACACTAGACAACCCTTCCACTAAATTACACCTCCAGCCCTCATCGAGTTGTGCAGACAGGTCTGGGATTGGCGGTCCTCCTACCCTGGCCTCCCAAACAGCTGCTGCACCAGGCCAGCTGACCCCTTGGCAGGCTCCATGTATTCTAGCTTAGAGCAAATTTAGAAAAGTTGCCCAAGTCCGTTTTTAATCATGCCGACTTCTGGTGGACATTCTGTTCCAGTTCATTCACTGCTTTTTCATTGAATTTTTCAGCTTCTAATCTAAAAACAGACATTCTATGTTCTTACTGTTTGATTTCTAAATGTAAAAGAAGAGCACATATGTAGTAGGTGTTTTGGGTTTCCATACATGTATCTCTGAGTGGCTCCACGTTGTCACAGTGCCAGTAGTTTTGATGATGATGATGATGTAACCTCAAGCTTCCTAATGGAAGCTGTGCTGATCATCTGTGGAGGAAGAGACTGAGTCGCTGGGTGCTGTTTACGTGGCTGACGTCAGCATTTCAGTATTGGTGAAAATAATTTGTTGTTACACTGCATAAAGTATGATTTTTGGAAAAATAAGGCCCAAGAATATGTTTGAAAACCTTTTACTAAGGCGACAGAATTTAAAATGCTGTTAGACTTTTGAGTGCATCAACTAAGAGGAGGCTTAAAATAGGCCCAGGAAAGAAGGTACAGTCAGCTAAAATGTAAATTTTAATTGGTCTATACTGTATTGTAAAACTTGGGATTATCTGTGAACTTGAAGTAAATGACAACAAGTCTTAGTTTTGGGTTGGCAGATTTTGATTTTGGAAGGATAGTATAAAAGCACAAGAGTAAAGGGTGTGGAGGGTTTGGTTTTGGTGGTGCAGGAGATGGAACCCAGCGCACAGGGCCTTGTACGAGCTAAACACGCACTTGTTGACTGAGCTATATCCTCCTTGTAGCAGACAGTTCTTAACCACACTGTCTGTCAATTAGTACATTCAGGCAGCATTTTCTCTTCAAAGCCTCAAGCAGGAAGCACACTGGTCACTTTTAGTTTACAGCTGAGTTGTCCATCAGTTCTGCCTCCTGTGGCTAGTTGGGTGTCCCCGAGGTGAGTAAAGAGTCGTGAAATAGGAAGTCCCATAATCTGATTGCTGTTGTGTTTTGGTAAAAGAGAGAGAGCCAGAGAGGCATGATTGATCACAAGATAGTCCAGAATCAGGGGATGAGGACTAGAGCTTCTGATGAGGAGAGGAGCTTTGAGCACCATATTGATTCAGCCACAGGAACCTAAAGCCACAGTAGTTTGCCTTTTAGATGGGTTGTTTGTCTGAGATTAAGTAATCTCTTTCCGTTGGTTTCATTTACTGATCACTTAGCTTGTGTTTGGTAAGTTTATAAAATTTTACTTTATAACATTTATATCAGAAATGAACTCCCTTTTTGGTCCAGCTCAGATACCACTACCATTTAGTAATGCTGTCTTAGCTTTTTCTACAGTAGATTGGAAGCTGTTTCTGGTAATATACCATTAGGCTTAGAAAGTAAAATGGAAATTTATCATCCTAGGATGAAATAGTAAGTTCAAGACAAATAACTAGTGTGATTCCAGTGGGTACGCAGCAGCCTGAATTTGGAGTTTTCTGGCAGCCCAGAAAAAAGTGAAACTGAAGAGTAGCTCTTAGAGAATAAGAACCTAGCGGTTCTGACACATCCCACATGAACACTTGCCGTGGCTTCCTTCTAACGGCCTTTGTAAAGACTAAGGGTGGCAAGCATTGGTCTCTAACATCACAGCACTGCTAGGACCGAGTCAGTTTAAAGGACTAAGACCTGACTGCTTTATTAAATAGGTGCTTCTTAGACTGTACGTCAGCGCTAGTTCACGGGCCCTTTGGTGCTGGCCCACACAAGTCAAGGAATCAAGAATAAGTGTTGAGGAACTTAGGACAGTGTGACCTTGCTCAGCATTGAGTGTTGATCTGCCCATCCGTGGCAGATGGCAATTTGAATCAAAACTTTCCTTTGGAGTTACTTGAGTCTGAGAGTGCTCACTTCTCTCTGCTGCTCCAGCAGTCGAGCAGTGGCTGCATCTGCAGTGGGCGTTCTTTTCCTGGGAGCTGATGGCTTCCTAAGGCCAGAAGTCAGCCGTGATTTCCTCAGAAGGAACCCAGTATTTTATATGAATAATGTGGTTAATTTTGTTGTTACAGACTATTCTCGTTCAGTCCTGGTATCCAATCACAGTGGCCACAAATTCAAGAGAGCAGAAGAAAATCCTGGCCAAATACTTGTTAGAAACTTCTGGTAACTTAGATGGTCTGGAATACAAGTTACATGATTTTGGTTACAGAGGAGTGTCTTCACAAGAGGTAAGAATTCAAAGTGAGTCTCAGGGAATACAGTGTGAGTTGTCAGTGCTGTACTAGCTCCTGCTGCTGCTGCGAGAAAACATCATGACCAGAGACAGTAGGTGTCAGAAAGTCTATGAGAGTCATGGTGGGGAGGCAGAGCTGCAGCAGGAGGACCAGGAACCCGGAGCTCACAGTTTCGCATGCGAGTGTGAAGCAGAGTGGGAGAACTGGAAGTGTCGGGGCTTTCATCTCAGTACATAGACTATACCTCTAAGTACGTGATCTAGTTCTTTATACAGTAGGTGGAGGGGTAGACAGACAGGCGCAGTGAACGCTGTACAGAGCACAAGTGTGGGGTAGAGAAATTGCGGTGGGAAGTGGGATGAGCCGATGGGGTGTTAGCTCCTGTTTTGAATTTTGTTTGTGGTTGATCTTCCAGACTGCTGGCATAGGAGCTTCTGCTCACTTGGTCAACTTCAAAGGAACAGATACAGTGGCAGGAATTGCTCTAATTAAAAAATACTACGGGACAAAAGATCCTGTTCCAGGCTATTCTGTTCCAGCGGCAGAGCACAGGTAAAATGGAGTCTGTTCTCATGTTCAATATTTGAACACTGGCCTTACATGCACAAGGCCCCCGGTCCTATCTCTGGCCCTCTGAACTGATTGCTTTCTAAAGCTTGGTTTGATTTTGTATGTGTGACTCAGCAACACCTGACTTGACAACAGAGCCAGACACTAAATAAACTTTGATGGAATAAACAGAACAAACAGAGTGCTCACTTTTATAAAGAGGGTCAGCAGGTCCGGGATTTTGAACCACTCTAGTAAACAGATTGAAGCATATTTAAGGAATGGTTTTTATATTTGCTGCATTGTATATGCAGATAGAATGTTCTTTATTAGCTGAAATCTGGAAACACTGTAAGTACTGGTTTCTTTTCCCACTTCTCTGTGTGATCTCCCCTGCCTTTGCCCAGGAGATTGTCATCTGGACCAGTGTTTTCAGTTCTAGATAAGTAAGCCATTTTAATGGGAAGGAAGGTGTCACCATTCTTTTGTGTTTACTTACTTACTCTTAGTGTTATCTCAAGGAACACTAGGAAATTATAAGCCAGGTTGCAGCCCATCTGGTTCTAGAGTTCCCATTATTAAAGGTAAACAGTGTAGGTGACCACACGCCTTTAATCCCAGCACTTAGGAGGCAGAGGCAGGTGGATCTCTGAGTTCGAGGCCAGCCTGGTCTACAGAGGGAGGGAATTCCAGGACATCTAGGGCTGTTACAAAGAGAAACCGTGTCTCAAAAAACCAAAAGAAAGAAGAAAAGAAAGTGAACAATGTGTGTAGTAAGTATATGTCAAACTTTGCTTCTGGTTCTTAACCTCATTTAATACAGTCGTCCGAGAATGCTTAAAGTCCTGTGTGTGTTTCCGTATAGAGTAAGCTGAGCTTTGTCACTCGGGTGCATATTAACTCACCACTGTTGGATCAGCAAGGTAGTCTGCTGGGAGCTGCAAGGACAGAAAGGTGTACAGCTGACCCTCTCAAGATAAAAATAGTCACGAGGAACTGTCTGCTCTGCTAAGAACTTTTAAAGGCACAATTAAGGTGTTTACAGTAGTCTCAAACAAGGAAGGTTCATGTCCATTGACAGGGTCAAAAAAGCTTTTATAGACACAATGTGTGAGATCTTGACTCCTTAAGGAAATAATCAAATTTGATTGAGCATTTTTGAGTAGTACTTTTTCATATTTTACTATGCCAAACATTATGATAACATGTACACATACTTTAGGGGAGTAAAGACTAAACAGATGTGTTAAAAGTAGGTTGAGAAGGTGGAAGAAGGTTGCACGCCATGCTGGCTTGTTTGATTTTTAACAGAGTCTCATGTAGTCCAAGCTGGCTTTGAACTTACATAATTTGAGATCCTGATTCTCCTGCCTCCATTTCCCAAGTGCTGTGATAATATATTCAGCTCTAACTTACTATTAATTAGACATTTTCAAAAAGAGTCAAGTGCTTACACTGCCTGGGAAAATGGGAGTATGTATTCACCCTTTCCAATATCCTGGCATGAAGGTGGGAGGCTGCGTGTGCTCGCTGACTTGATTAGGTTGAAGGAGGCTGAAACAAACCAGGTTATAATTGGTTAACTATTGATCTGAGAGCTAAGTGACAGTAACTACTAAGGTGAGAATCGTTAACTTGTAGCACAGGAAGCAAACAGGGCAGGGGTGGTTTAGCGCAAATCCTGCATTTGCCTTCCAATGTGCACTTATTAACTGGATTGTCTCGGTGACACTGATGGGCTGGTACAGTGAAGACAGTGGTTGATGATGCCTCAGAAATTGGTCTCATGTCTGCCTGAGTAAATCTGCATTTTCCACTTTGTTTTCTAGTACCATAACAGCTTGGGGGAAAGACCATGAAAAAGATGCTTTTGAACACATAGTAACACAGTTCTCATCAGTGCCTGTGTCTGTGGTCAGCGACAGCTATGACATTTATAATGCTTGTGAGAAGATATGGGGTGAAGACCTCAGACATTTAATAGTATCGAGAAGTACAGAGGCGCCACTCATCATCAGACCTGACTCTGGAAACCCGCTTGACACTGTACTGAAGGTAAATCGTGGTGTGATTGTTAAGATGCCTGTGCACCGGCTGCTTCACTGCTTCTCATTTGTGTCACATCATTTCAAGACTCTGGAAGTCTCCTGTCTTTCAGAGATTTGCCAAGGCCACATGTTACTTGCAGTGAAAGGAGATAGAGATTAGTGATGTGGGATGACCTTCTGTATATGTGTTGCTTTTATTGGTTGATGAATAAAACTGTTTCGGCCAATGGCTTAGCAGAGTAAGGCAAGGTGGGAAATCCGAACAGAGATGTAGAAAGGGTAGGTGGAGTTAAGGAGATGCTGTGTAGCTGCTGAAGGAGACAGATGCCAGCACTTTACCTGGTCAGCCACAACCTTGTGATACACAGAATAATAGAAATGGGTTAATTTAAGATGTGAGCGCTAGCTAGGAATACACATAAGCCATTGACCAAGCAGTATTGTAATTAATATAGTTTCTGTGTGATTATTCGGGTCTGGGCGGCCGGGAAACAAGCAGGCAGTCTCCACCTACAGGTTAGTTTATTTACATATTGTCAAGTAGACAATTAAGGGCCAGTGACTGTTTCCTTATGTGCCCTCAGAATTAATCACATTACCATCTTAATCTGGCTGGTGCTTTAATCAGCATCTTGTGGTTTATTCCATTTATTAGAAGTCGTTGTTAAACCTCTTGTTAGAACAGAAGGCGTCTGTTCGGGGTAATTCAGAGCTCCTCCTCAGGTCGTGCTTGACTAGAACTAGGCCTGTCTCTGAGCAGAGCTGCCTCTTAGTGTTCAGGGCCTGTCTCACAAAGTCCATCCCGGCAGGAGTTGATTGATGCCTTCTAGAGAACCGCTGTTGGTGCTTGACTCCAGAAAGTTTCCTTTAATCTCATCAAAAAGAAAAAATACCACCGGCGGCTCTGACCATCTCTGTTGGAAGGAGAAAATGACCCACCAAGGTTGAGAAACGTGCAAACAGTGTAGGCCTTCTGTCTGGAGCCTCCCTGTACGACTGTTCTCGACTAGGGAGCAGATGGCTTCTCTCTCTCTCGTAGGAAGTGGGAGCATAGATTAATGAAGTCTTTTTTGATTCTGTAAACGGCTAGTCTCAATGTCTTAGCCTGAAGTGTTAAACTTTTGACAACTAAACAGCTTTTTTATTTCCATTGTGGTAGTTATAATAAGAAAGCCATTACGTGGAACTTCCATTAGGATCTTTTTATGTCAGGAAAGGCAGTGATTGTGTGGAAGGGGTGTAGCCGATAGGTCTTCTCCGGCCCTGACCAAGTTTTCTTGATCAACTTCAAATCTGTGTTTAAGGGTTTACGCTGTGATAAAATGCTGAATGGCAGCCATTGCATGGAGTGGCTTAAATATCACGCAGGCCAGCTTTTCTGGAGCAAAGAGCTTTGGGCAAACTGCACATTGTATGCGCTTTGTGGCCGTCTTACTCTCTCAGCTCTGTGGCTCACTGTCAGACGAATGTAAACCAAACAACTGTTGGCCACAAGCAGAGTGAGTCCAAATCAGAGGCATAATTAGGAGTCTGTTGTGCCATACCTTACATGCTTCTTTAATATATATATTGTTTCAATAGTACAGATTTTCTTTCTTGAATCTGTATAATTTGAAAGATGTGAAGAAAAAACCCTGTGTTGCGCTAATTTAATGGTATAAATTGATGAAATAGGAAAGCACACACCTTTTTCTAATGTGGTTAAAAGGCATTGCAGCCATATTTTATAAAGGTTTATATGTGGTTTAAGATTGTTTAAGTCATTGAACTTTTATATTTTCAAAATTGTGTAGTAAAGGAAAATAATTCCTGGCTTGGGGAGGTCCCCTCTCCATCATAGTTACTTGTGTTGTTTTTTCATGCAGGTCTTAGATATTTTAGGCAAGAAGTTTCCTGTCACTGAGAACTCAAAGGGCTACAAGCTGCTGCCCCCATACCTGAGAGTCATTCAGGGAGATGGCGTGGATATCAACACTCTGCAAGAGGTAGTGTGCTCCACTTGAGTGATCTTGACACAGCTTTTTTGGTTCTTAAGTAGCCCATTCAAATTTAAATGCAATTGTGAGCTTATTTTGAGTATTTAAGATGGTAAACACCTTTGGTGTTTTGAAATAATAGTAGCTTAAAATACAGAAATGGCAGCCAAGACCTGTTCTCCAGGCCTCAGTAGCCACCTTCTGTTGTGATTCTGAAGAGAAACAGAGTAAAGGCTTTTGTTTGAGCCCAAAGTATGTATGAGAGTTGTCAGCATGACACAGTCTTTCAGAGGGATTATCTAGATCAGGGTGGGGGGCTAATGGTTCCAGGCCCCCGCACTCTGCTGCCTTTCTCAGTGCCCCCCACCTCTCTGGAAATGGCACTGTCCACGGGGACTGAACTTTCCTGCGTCCGTTCACAGTTAAGAAAATGCCCCTCATACATGGCCACTGCCAGTCTGATCTGAGCAGCTCTGCAGAAGTTCCCTCCGTGTGTCTCAAGCTGACCATGTGTGACAAGTCGTTCTTTGGATACTCGTGGGTGCAGGGAGAATATCTCACACTGGTTCTTCCAGCAAAGCAGTGTGGGGACACAGGTGAGAACATCATACCCAGAGGACAGTTCTTGATTTTTCATGCTGGAAGTTAGTCACATGTGGTTTTAGAAACAGGAAAAGGAATTAACAGTTTCCTCTGTGTACCCACTTAAACACATGATACGTGACAAGCACTTGCTCACTGGAGCACAGGTCATGGAGGTGGTAGTAACGGACAGTTAAATCCTAAGGACTCCTCGGCTAACTTAAATACTTCAGTATGAAATACGAAAATGCATTATGCAATAAGAGTGGTAGTTTGTCCGTTTACTTCCACCTTGATTTTTTTTCTTCTGGTTTGTTTGTGAGCGACTTTGGCATGTTGCAGAGTGGAGAACAATTGAGCTGGCATGCCATGATGTGAACTGTCCTGGGAAGTGACCACCACGGGAGGCAGGAAGGTAGTTTGGTTCAACACAACGAAGTAGCCAGTGTTGACTCAGACTTCAAGACTCTGGCCCCAAGTACTTTATTTTAGGTGTGTTTAAGCACAGCACAATTCAGGGAAATTTCTTTTCTGATCAAAACTCAATCCTGTGTGTACAATAAAGCTTAAGATACTCTTTGTAAAGTACCTGTGATATCTTCCATAAAGACAGGTTCTGTAGATTGGCAAGCTATGGTCCCGGCCGCAGATAGTGCAAAGAAAGGTCACTAGGCTCTTAACCACATCTGTTCCTAATCTATTTAGAGACAATCCTGTGTGTTTAATTCCTGGTTCCCGTGGTCCTTATGTGTGAGCACAAGACTCTCCGTGCCTTTCTCAGGGCACAATAACAGGCACAAACCAGGATTTGTATAAAACATAAAGGAATCGCTTTGAAGGAAGCTGTGGTCTTTTACCGTAATTCTTCCCAATGAAAAACATATTTTGGTTTAAAAAGAAAAGCATAAATAGACACAGACACACACAGGAGAATTGATGGGTAGAATTTTAAGTTTTAAAATGATTGCATTTCTCAGGGTTGGATTATTAACACATGATGGCGTTTGGGGTTTGTTTCTTTTTACAGTGTTGAAAATCAAGAGAAAAGATCGATTTGAGACTTAGTGTGCAGGGAGAGCATAACTGGCCTCTGCCTTAATCACTTTGAAAATTCTTTTTAAATTGGACTTTTAAACAGAACATGGCTTTTCATGAAATTCAGAAATGGTTAATAAATTTCACTTTGTTTCATTATGAAAGTGATTGGATTTGTTTGTAAATTAGAGGTACAGGATTGGTAAATAAGCCCCACGCAGAGAAACACAAATGCGCTGATACCACGGCTTCATTGTAGTTTTTAAATCTTCCCTTGGAAGAACTGTGTGCCGTGCAGGTCTCTGCAGCGGGCTCGTAGATAATCCTTCTTTCACAGTGACCCAGTCATAAATCATAACATCTAAAGTGTTTATGCACTGAAATGAGTCAGCCAGTGTCATTGTTAGGTACAAGTGAGCATTATGTGCTCCTGTTGATGACCGCTGACCTGTGCCATACAGTAACTTACATGTGCTAACACCACGCACCGTGATGTATTGTGATGTTAGAAACCCCTGGAGTCTAGTCATCTGGGGCAAGTGTTGCAGTTTTTGTTGCCGGCATTGGGCAGTAGCTTTGAGGTGACTGGGAGGGTTCAGGAAGCCTTAGGTATATAGAACCAGTTTTCTTGCTCCTTTACTCCCGGGCCTGACTGCATTGACTACACTGAAAATCTGCAAGTGAGCCCTCCTTCCACACATCCATTGCAACCCGCATGGATATTTCCAAAGCTAATGTGTGCTATTACCTGCTGAGGCTTCTCTAAGTACTGACTGGTACGGACAGCGTGGGGTCTCAGTGTCGCCCTTTGAAGGTAACTTCCGTTGTCTTCCAGATCGTTCATTTGCTTGTTTTTTATCTTCCAGATCGTAGAGGGAATGAAACAAAAAAAGTGGAGTATTGAAAATGTCTCCTTTGGTTCTGGCGGAGCTTTACTACAGAAGTTAACAAGAGACCTCTTGAATTGCTCCTTCAAGTGCAGCTATGTTGTCACCAATGGCCTTGGGGTGCGTCCTTCCGCTTTCCTTCTCCTGTGTCTGGGAAGGGCACAGCAGTGCAGCAGTCAAAGACCAGTGTGCTGCTGGGCTGTCGGGTTGATGGGAGCTGCCTAAGACCTAGGGAAAGAAAGATGTCTGGTCAGGACAGACGTGGGAACCAGGAAATGATTGAAGACAGAGTGTAGGCCAGTCATCGCCGTTGCTTTGCCATGTACCTTTCTATCAAGAAGTTGGTTCTGTTGAGTAAGATCATCAGCTAGCCTGGCCGTTGCATGCTGAAGATAATCAAGTCCGCAGTAATCACTGCAAGATCCTATTATAAGGGTGGAGTTTGAGCTTCTGGTTTTAATACCAGAATCGTTCAGTAATCATAGTATAGTTGGGATACCCATAGAGACAGCTGACCTGAGCTATTGGGAGCTCATGAACTCTGGACTGACAGCCAGGGAAGCCTGTATGGGACAGAACTAGGCCCTCTGATTGTGGTGACAACTCTGTAGCTTGGTGTGGAGAGAGACCTTGCTCAACCTTGATATGTGGGGGAGGGCTTCTTCCTGCCTCAACTTGATGTGCCAGGCTTTGTTGACTCCCCATGGGAGGCCTCACCTTCTCTGAGGAGTAGATAGGGAGGGTAGGTAGCGGGGGAGGGGAGGCTGTTGTTAGTATGTAAAATGAATTAAAATTTAAAATGAAATTTTTAAAATATAAATAGGTGAAAACCCTGAAGAAAACCTGTACTGTCTTCACCCTTCTTTGGAGAATCCGGACTGTCTTCTCTTTTGCTCTCCCAGGCCACTGCCATCTGTCAGGGCTCTGCCTCCACCTTTCTGGATCTGTGTGTTTATCACACTGCACTGTCCTCAGAGTCTGTAGTCTTTCGTTGTTGTTACTGAGTTAGGGTCTTACAGTGTGGCCCTGACTAGACTCGAATCTGTAGTAGTTCTCTTGTCTGTGCCGCCATGCCCAGCAGGTTCTCCAGCTTGGGGCACAGTGCGTGTTTATCTTAAATACTCTAGTTCTCTATACAGTGTATAAAGACGTGTGTTTATTCGTTGGTAATGTAAGGGCCACATGGTAAATTCTCCAAATCGCTCTGTAAAAGCCGGTCAGAATTTGGGTTTCCATACCGTGACTATTTTGAAGGAAAACAGGCTAGTTAATGGGTCACGTGAGGAGTGAAGTTAGTTATACTTGCAACACTATAGGTAAGTAAATAAAATAAAAACCAGTTCTAGCCAGGGATCCCGCCAGCCTGCAGGTACTGCAGCTCTGGCAGCTTTAGAGACGTGGATGATGTTCAGCATTTCTCTCGATTTCTATTTCAGGTTAATGTCTTTAAGGACCCAGTTGCTGACCCCAACAAAAGGTCAAAAAAGGGACGATTATCTTTACACAGGACACCGGCAGGGAACTTCGTCACGCTGGAAGAAGGAAAAGGAGACCTTGAGGAATATGGCCATGTGAGTACCTGTTGACTAGAGATTTTAATGGTAGTGAACTGGCTTTTCAAAGGGAAAGGGGGGGTTTTGTATTATACTTTCACAGTTTTGTGACATTGAAATAATTTTTTTTCACATAGTGGCCAACATGATAGACATTGATGGCTTTTATGTATGTTTTTATATTTGGTCTTAATCTTACTGTTAGCTATCAGTGAATGATTTCTGAAGAAGCGTAGCAAATAGGACTTTTTAAATGTTGTTCTTCAACTTCACATGACTGTGTTAAAGTAAAATATAATTTTATAATGGACTAATTCCAAACCCATTTGAAAGGAATTGTTTCTTTAGAACTTAATAGCCATTTCAGGTGGTTTTCTCTGGTCTTGATTCTCATGGAATTATGAGCTTAAAACAAAAAGAAAAGCAATAGTAACATAGAAATAGAGTGGGCTAATTCAGATTATCTAACTAGCAAATGGCAGGGCATCACAGTTTTCTGATTCCAGCTAACCAAACTGGAAAGAACGTGTAACATGTGTGCAGTAGGCCGTGTGCTCAATGGCTTTCAGCATGAGTACACGTTACTGCACTCAGTGTTTGAAGAGTACCCGTCTCCAAGCCACTAGATGGAGGGGGATGCAGTTTGAGAGAAAAAATTTCTCTTGCGTGTTTATGTTCTTCAGACGTGAGCACCCAGCTGGTGCTGTTTCTGCAGTCACTGTGCAAATATGACCATCTACGACAGTTGATTTCCTTGTCTTTTAAGGTTTGGAGCTGGAATTAATAAATAATCCATCTTTGTATGAAAATGATGTGAACTTGTAGATCAGGTTTTTAGAATTAAAACTCTTTATGTAGTCCACCAGCAATTCTTTGGGTAGATTTTACATAACAAATGGAGCTGCCAGGGTTCTGTGGAATTGGGCCATCTCAAGTGAAGCAAAGCCAGTTGAGACTAAGTCAGAGGAAACACGGATTTGAGAAGTGCCCGAGCATCTGTCCAGTATTATGGTGGTGCCCTCTGATCATGGAGGCTTTTAAACACCAGCATTTCCCTGGTAGTTTATATTGAAATTTACTAAAGAAAGTGCTGCGTATAGGTGCAGTTTAGATAGCAGTGAGTGTCGCGTGTGCTATAAGGAAATTCAGATGAGTTTCAGTGGACTTTTCTTACATGGAAACTAATTCAGTCCTCATCTTCTGTTGATGTTTATCCATGACTTTGCAGTTACAATCTTTGCGTAACTCGGTCACCACAAATAAGAACAAAAAGTGTCTGTTTTTGTATGTTTCTGTCTTGGCTTTGGTTTTTGGTTTTTGCAATTTAATGGCTTGCAAATTTATTAAACATCTAGATTGAGGAAGAATTTTTTAGCAGGGACAGTGGTAGTTATTCCTAGCAAACGTTTAGTGGTACAAAAGTATGTGGGCATCTGGTGTTTTGTTGCTCCTTTTTAAGAAAACTGGCCTGAGAATGGTTATCAAATCTCACTGTTGTAAGTGGATGCTCTCAACAGCTTTGTGTTTGACCTCTTAGGTAAATTGGTCAAAGCACAATTCAGAAATTTAATGGTCTTTTTAATGATAATTTACGTTCTGCAGGATCTTCTCCATACGGTTTTCAAGAATGGAAAGGTGACAAAAAGCTATTCATTCGATGAAGTCAGGAAAAACGCACAGCTGAACGTCCAGCAGGACGAGGCGCCGCATTAGGCCTGATTGCTGTGTGTGCAGTGTGTGTGCATACATGCACTATGTGTGTGCTTGTATGTATTCAATAACATGTTCATTGTACAGATGTGTGGGTTTGTGTTTATGATATACTACAGCCAGATTATTTGTTGGTTTATGGACATACTGCCCTTTTTATTTTTCCCCCAATGTTTAGATGATCTCAAATTAGGAAACACTTATAACCATGTACAAGATTAATGCTAAAGTAAGCTTTTTAGGGCCCTTTGCTTATAGATAGTAACTCGGTCTGTGTTGGCCTTTTCACAAATCACAGAACCAAGAAACTTTTATATATAACTGCAGATCACATCAAACAGATTTGCATAAATTACCATGACTGCTTTATGTTTATATTTAACTTGTATTTTTGTACAAACGAGATTGTGTAAGATATATTTAAAGTTTCAGTGATTTAACGGTCTGTTTCCAACTTTTCATGATTTTTATGAGCACAGACTTTCAAGAAAATACTTGAAAATAAATTACATTGCCTTTTGTCCATTAATCAGCAAATAAAACATGGCCTTAACAAAGTTGTTTGTGTTATTGTACATTTGGAAATTATGTCAGGACATATACCCAACAGAATTACTAACCTCACTGCCCTTGTAGAATATGTATTAGTCATTCTACATCGAAGAGAATTATGGTTCTTACTCGAATGTCTAGGCATTGTACAGTCCTATATCTTGGTCATTGTATTGTACCAGTGAAATGCCAAATTCGAAAGGCCTGTTCTGCAATTTTATATGTCAGATATTGCCTGTGGCTCTAATATGCACCTCAAGATTTTAAGAAGATAATGTTTTTAGAGAGAATTTCTGCTTCCACTATAGAATATATACATAAATGTAAAATATTGAAAGTGGAAGTAGTGTATTTTAAAGTAATTACACTTCTGAATTTATTTTTCATATTCTATAGTTGGTATGACTTCAATAAATTGCTGGAGTGGGTAGTGAGTGTACTTATTTTAAATGTTTTGATTCTGTTATATTTTCATTAAGTTTTTAAAAAATTAAATTGGATATTAAACTGTATGGATATCATTTATTAATTTTAAATTAAATCCTCAGTAACTAATACTTAAGCAAGTTCTTGGTGTTATCCCCAATGGAAAGCATGATTGTTTATAGAAGAATCTTCCATAACCAGAGATGTAGCTAAATTTAAAATATCCGGATCAAAATGTTGATGGTGATTTACTGCTAAACCCTGATTCAGCCCCTGCATCCAACACTGGCTTCTTCGGGGTGACACCTGACACTGGGTCAGCGCTAAGGCCCTGCAGGCCAACTTGGCACGGCTCCTCTTTAATTACATACTGTCTAAGGCTGCCTCCCACTTTCATGGCAGAAATGGAGCAGTTACAATAGAGACCACACAGTCCACAAAGTCTGGAATGTTCACGCTTTGTTCACTAAACACTGACACAGAAAGCTCACTAACCTGTGTTCTAAGAACAGGAGCATGTCTTTGCATTTTAAGAGAGATGTTGGTTTTTCTGGGAAGGAAGAAGCTGAATTTTATGGAGTTTCTCTTGTTCTTTCTCATTCAAGTATCTGATACTAGAAACCTGAATTGGAAAAATTTTAACAGCTTGCCCTTAAGATGAAATTTTAAAAGCCATAAGTCATGAGCATACCTCTGAGAACATACCTCTAATGTAGTGAGTTCCGGTTTTTGCAGGTGATCCTAGAACGTACCAGAAACAGAAAGCATTATTTACTTTTAGTAATCCTTGTCCTATAATACATGGTCAAAAAAAAAGTCTTAAACTGACTTTAATCAGCCTGGGCATGGTGTGGTGCATGCCTGAAATCCCTGAACCAAATCAGACAAGGATCAGAAATCAACATCATCCTTGGCTACATAGCAAACTGCAGGCCAGCCTGGGCTGCCTGCGTCCACTACATAGCAAACTCCAGGCTAGCCTGGGCTGCCTGCATCCCTAAGAAAATTAAAGTGTACCTAAGGTTAGTAGTACTAAAAAGACTTGTCCCAGGTGAGTATCGTGGTAGGCATTGGTAATCCCAGTACCTGAGAGGTATACACAGAAGAACCAGCCTGAGCTGAGTAGGCCCTTGTCTCTGCACAAGGAGACACACAGCATCACAGAATGCTGCAACGAACCTGTCGTTGGTGTGGTACTGAGCGGTCCTCGTGTTCTATGAAACCAAGCAGCTCCACACGCCAGTTTTATCTTAAGAGATTTAGTAAAAACTAGAAGTTTGCATGTGTGCACATGGGCCCAAGAGTGGAGTGAGCCATTTCTCTCGGCTCTGGTCCCCTTGAAGCTGATGAAAATTGAATTCTGCCACTAAGCAGTATTTGGCCATCCCCATTCTGAGTACCAAATTGCTGACAGAAATGTCAAATGGGGTTGTGCTGTGTGTCACCGTTGGATTGGCCTAACCCTTCCTGACAAAAGCAGATCACATACACAGATTTAAGACGCTAGATTTGCAGTTGACGTCAGCCTCAATTCATAACTTTAGGATTTTGTGTTAAGTGTTATTTGTACCCTATATTTAAAGTAAAAAGTTTTTATGGGTAACCCTTTCTTGAAATAAACTGTTATGAAGAGAGCTTTTATAGTGAAATCCATCTTAGAAAATTAGAAAAATAGCAAGGCATTCGTTGTTGTGTTTACCGTAACTTAGAAGTCACGTAAACTAGTATTTTGTAGGTTTACATTCCTTTTTAACCCATTCGGTGGAGAATATCAAACTTTCTCCCAAGTTGTATGTTAAGTCAATTCCAATATGTACTCAGTATCAAAGATAACATGTAATAAACATGGAAATAAAGTTTAGTTCTGTTAGTGAAATGTTAAATTTGGCTGTGTGTGTCAGATAAATGCCATTTCCAGGCCTGCCTCTTCTAGGTGCTTCAGAGTCAGAGGGTGAGAGGAGGGTGCGGAGGATGCTCCCGTTTTCCACCTTCCGTAGCTCTGGATGGCATGGGTAGAGGGTGCGTGCATGCGTGTGTGTGAGAGAGAGAGAGAGTGCGAGCCCTCTGGAGACGGAGACGGAGTGTGGAGCAGGAGGCGGCACACACACACGCCACATTATCTGGTTTGGAGATAATTTTGTTGGAACAAGCTCTAGCCAGTCTTCAGTCATGGTCGTCGTTCTGCACAGGGCAGGGTTGAGTAGTTGAACCACAGCTAGAGTCTGCAAGGCTGACCTCGTCTACCACCTTCCGTTTTCCAGGGGAAAACACCCGGCTAATAAAGGAGGACCCAGGAGCAACTGGCAGTGAGCTTTGAAGGTTCAGTGGCAGAGTGTGAGCAAGCAAGGGATACTGGCCAGCATCAGGCAAAGAGAAAGGAAAGTGTGACTACAGTTACAGGAAGCTATCTGCAAAGATGAGTTAGTAGGGGGAGAGAGGAAGAGAGGGAAAGAGAGAGAGAGAGAGAAGCTTGCTGCACAGGCATGGGGATCCAAGTTCAAATCTCAAGCACCCAGAAAAGATGGATGAGTTGGGCATATGCCTGTGATCCCAAGGTTGTGGTGGAAGCAAGGCTACCAGACCCGGCTAACTGGATGACCAGCCAGTCCCGCTAGTCAGGAAACCCAGGCACAGTTAGAAACTTCTGTGTATTCCATCCTTAGCTCCCGAGGTAGTAGTTTCAGAAACATATAAATGAGAAAGAAAACTGGCACTATTGGCCCCAGATTACCTTGTATGTCGTTCAGTAGTTTTTAACTTTCTCTCAGGTCACAAGCCCAGGATTTGTGACTTGGTGGACAGGGCCAGGGCAGACATGATGGACAGAGATGCTGCTGCAGAGCCAGCTCCCCAAGTCTACCCTTCCGGTTAGAGGTGCGCCAGCAGAACCTCCAGTCCCTGGAGTGCTCGGAGAAAAGCTGCTTATACTCAGAAGATAATTTAAAAAACAAAAACCGTTAGGTTGCCATTGGGGTCCACATCACGTTCTTGCATATTATGGGAAGGTCAGACTAAGAACACAGATTGAGCTAAATGGGCAGAATCCCTTATGTGATGGTAAAAGTACAATCATAACATCGACGAGCTGTCAAAATAATGTTTAAGAAATATGAGCAGCTACAGAGTGATCACACAGAACACTGTGAGCAAACACGGGGACTTCAGACACTAACTTTATGAGACAGATTAATATGCTCATTAGAAATTAGAAATCACTTTGAGAGATGCCAAGGAGTGGATTTTAAATGGTGTAACATTTGAAAAGAGAAGGGATGGAATGAGAATCTTAAGATGCAGAAGCTACAAAGGGCAGTGGTTTGGAAGGTGGGTCTGAAGGAATGGCTCAGTACAGAAAGTACTGCAAGTTAAGCAAATAAGCCAAAAACTGAAAAGGCTTAACATTGGTCTCAGGAGTGTTCTAGAAGCAGGGAAGATAAAGTTTAAGAAATTGGACTTCAGCAAAACATAGTACAACACTGACAACACATACAAGCAACACACATATATACAAATACATGCACAACACATACACGGGCAGGTATACTGACACATAAAACCTAGGCCAGTGCAACAGAATAAATACATGCAGCTGCCTGATAGCTAACAAGTGCCAAGACAGTATAGGAAAGACAGACGGTGTAGGAAAGACAGACAGCCTCTTCAACAAGACAGTGTAGGAAGGACAGACAGTGTAGGAAAGACAGACAGCCTCTTCAACAAGACAGTATAGGAAAGACAGCCTATTCAACAGATAGTGCGGAAAAGAGGTGCCTAAGTGTAGAAAAATAAACTCCAAGTGAATCAAAGACCTCAATATAAGAAAAAGTGAAAGTGAGCCACCAGAAGTTGGCAGAGGCATTAAGGAGGATTTAAGAACAGTAGCAAAGATTGCATGGGACCTTCAGAGTGGAGTTCTTAGCTATCTAACAGAAGATTCGTGTCCAGAATATACAAAAAACTCAAAAATAAATAAATAAGAAAACAACTCTCCAAACAGTAAGAATTGAACAAACCTCAAAAGAAGTAGAAATCACCAATACATAAATGCATGGGGAAAAGATTCAGTATTCTCAACCATCAGGTAAATACAAATTGAACCAGTGAGACTCCATCTCATCCTGGTCAGAGTGGCTACTATCAAGGATACAGTCACAGATGCTTGTGGGGGTGTGCTGGGTTAGTGGGGAAGAGGGGGAGTGTAAATGTGGCCACTACGGAAGGCAGTGTGGAGAAATAGCCACTCCTGGGCATATATTCAAAGTCACCATCATTAAAAGGTACGTGCACATTCAAGTCTATTGCATTGTTTATAATAGCCCAATTATGGAACCATCTTAGATGTCCCTCAACAGCAAATGGGGTATGTTTCCACAGTAACTTTTGATTCAGCCATAAAGAACAACGAACATCCTCTGCAGGAAAATGGATGTGACTGAAGACCATCATGTAAAGTAAGGTAACTTTTACTCGGGCTAGAACAGGTAGTGAAAGCTATTACTCACAGAATCTTTCTTAAGGTATGAGTGCAGAGGAGGGGCTGTTAGGGACGAGGAATGGGGCCAAGAGGAGGTGGATAATAATGGTTGCATAGAATCAGAGTACATGCATACATCTGTGGAAATGTCCTAATAGAGACCGAGGTAGGAGGACACAGATTGTACCACCGTGGGATACATCATGAAGCCCTGTCTTGAAAAGTCCTTATTTTGTACAATAAATGCTTGTTTTTCATACGGCCTTGGGATTCACCTGGACTGGGGACAGCAACCCTCTAACAATCAAATCTCAATGAATCCCTAACAAAATAAAGCCTCATCCAGACTGTGATAAAAGAGGGCATAGGGTAGGTGAGTGAGTACAGATCTAAGCAAAGCAATTATTAGCATATGTAAAAATGTATAAGCCCACTGTTTCATACGCGCGCTAATAGAAATATGGAGGAAAGCCAGAACAAACTGATGTCCTAAGGAAAGATTAGCACTGCCTCAACAGCTCCAGGGGACACCAGTGTCCAAAAGGAAAGTCAGCACCGAGACAACCTTGTTCCCGCTAAAACAGGTTCGAGACGAAGGATAAACAGTTCTGTACAATACCAAACACTGAAAATTGCATGCCACCATTTCAGAAAATTTATCTAAGAGATACAGGAGGCACAATGAGAGGGACAGACACTAAACTCAACAGATGCCGACTCCAAGAAACAGTAGTGGAGAGTTATGTGTCCAGGATTTAAAGTAAGCAGGATTCACACCACAAAAGCGCATATTGGGAACAGAATTGGAAGTATTCTGAACCGGGAGAGTGGCTGGAGCTACTGACCAATTTAAGACCACGATAGACATGAACAAATCGATGTGGAAGTAAGCACATTGCTTTCGGACTAACAGGAAAAGGTCAAATATGTATTTGGTTTTTGGAATAAATGAAAAAAGCAGGTGGAACAGTTAGCAAAATAGGCAAAATTAATCGTGAGCTGTATATACATGCAATGAGCCATACATATCCTAACATAAATTCAAAAGATAGAAACTTGATCTACTTGCCAGTTTTACAAAAAGTCACGTCTAAAGCAAGGTTGGAGGTGTCTAAAGAACAGTTGATGGGATGTCGTGGCTGCAGTTTTCCTTGTGACGAGTCGTGTGTTCAGGGTTTCTGACGTCACCAGTCCCTGGAACAGTGTGTGAACAAAGTGTGGCACTGAGAAAGAACAGAGTATTCCAGCACCAGGCTGTGGCTTACTTACCCTCGGGAAAGCAGAGCTTCAGATGATACTCCTCAGATGAGCCGTGTTTGGAAACATTAGGGTACTCACTGCAGGGGAAGATACATTCTGAGAAACTGCCGCTCCTGGCCGCTCCTTGTCGTTTCCCGAGTCTAGGGCTTCCGATGTCTCTCTGACACATCCTTTTCTCCACTTGTTCTGGTGAATTATCTTTTCATTGATAGGTGGGGGGGGGGGGAGATCAGGCTACCTGTGGGTTTTTCTAAACTACATGCATGTACTCCCTAAAATCTGATAAATGCCAGAATATGGCAGTGGGAGAGGCTTGTGTAGATACCCACCCTCCAGCGATAGTATAAGCCCCCATTATCTCTGCTTGAGAACCACTGTTCTGCATAAACCTCTTACCAAGCACTGGTACAAGACCTTACTCCTGGGACCAATGCGTTACCGCTATCTACCCTGCATTAGTAGTGTTCCCGCTCCTGCTTAGGGAACAAGGCTCAGCACACAATGATGGCTGTCCTCTGAGGCTCACACCCTAGCTTGCCTGGGGATGGGAAGGTCACCATGTTTTTCCTACAGGAAGCAAAGAGCAGATAACCTAGCTGGCAAAGACAGCTCATACCTCATCCAGACTGCAAATCTCCTGACCTGTCCAAACACATCCGTTCCTGCCTTTTGCACACAATAGCCCTAAGGAGGTCATCTCAAAAATTTTACATGCATAAGAAATTCTAAATTTCAGAGTTCCTTTTATTCTATATCATATATAAAAGAACTTTTTATTAACAATCAAGGAAAACAATATTACACCATTGCAAGTGCTGGTTGTGCCAGACCGTGGCATGCACAGGGCATCTTGGAATGAGGGTGTCTCTAATTGCTGCTGCTTGGTAAGTAGAGCTTTCTGTTACCCGCGACTGAGAGGGGGCAGTGAGCTAAACAGCCACTGGACGTAGTATTTGTATGTATGAGAATGCAGGAGGGGGGAGGGAAAGAGAGTGTAGGCTGATCCCTCATTCCTCTGCAGTAGTTTTGAAATTAAGAGCAGAAAAAAAAATACACAAAATTGTGGGAGATTGTATATACACTGATGGACATCGTGAATAGTTGAATATTATTTCAGGGCCATTCAGCCAAGTGACACTAACTTGCTGA